CTTTTCTTTTTTTTATTAAAAGTTTTAATGAGTTTTACAATTATATACCTTCCGCCATCCCTCCCGCGCCCCCCCCCCTCCCCCCCCCCCCCCCCCCCCCCCCCCCCCCCCCCCCCCCCCCCCAACCTCCCAGAGCAAATACAGGGTATAAACCTTTAGCAACCATATACTAAAATAAACTAACTAACTTTAGCGTCATCCCTTGCTTGCACCTCAACTCCTAATCTCCTATTCTTTTTCAAGTTAGCTCAAAGCTACTTGGAGTAGTAGAGCAAGAGGAAATTGTCAAGAAAAAGAAGAGAGCAAAGGAGAGAGAAAAAGGGAGAAGGGAAAGGAGGGGAAGGGGAAGAGGAGAGGAGAGAAAAGAAAGGAGGAGAGGAGAAAGAGTGGAGGGGCGATGTGAGCAGAGGAAGAGAAGAAAGGAAAAAAGAGAACAGGAGAGGAGATAAAAGAAAGGGAGAGGAGGAGAGAAGGGGAAAAGTTTAATAGAAAAAAAACCCTCAAATCAAATCAAAACTTAACAGAACTACAATATATTAAAAAATCCGGCTCGAAATTCGGCTTTGAGCTACCGAGCGCTCGAATCCCGCTCTGAAAGCGCCCCGGCGTGGAGAGGGACGAAGTGAGAGGGAAAGAGAAAGGGAAGAGAAGAGAAAAAAAGAGAAAGGAGGAGATAAAAGAAGAGGATAGGTGAGGAGAGGAGAGCGGGAAGGAGAAGAAAGGAAAGGGGAAGATAGAACAGGAGAGGAGATAAAAGAAAGGGAGAGGAGAAAAGAAGAAAAGTTTAATAGACAAAAAAACCCCTAAAATCAAATCAAGCCACAATTTAAGAGAACTACAATAATAATAAAAAAATCCGCTCGAAATTCCGCTTTTGCGCCACCGAGCGCTCTAATCCCGCTCTGAAAGCGCCTCCCGACCCCCCCGACCCCCACCTACAGCATCAGCAGGGTCAGGAACAGCAGGATTAGCACCCAGGTTTCCAGCGCCCAGCCCAGGACCGGGTCTCCCATGGCGAGCGCTTCTGCAGAGCCTCGGGCGAGCTGGGCAACTTCTGAGCCGCGGCTGGAAGTTCCCGAGGTTTTGTAGCCGCCCTCGGAGAGGAGCCAAGCCCGGGGCTCCTCCTCGGGACGGCCTCCTGGGGCTCCTCCCCGGTAGGACTGCGAGCCCTGGAGCGCCCGGCCGGCCCGGGACAAGGGAGTGCTAACAGCTGGAGAGGATCGCTCCTTCTCCTCCTCCGTCGTTCCTTCTACTTCTCCTTTCTCTTCCTCTCCTCTCTTCCTCTCCTCTCTCCTCCACCATCATTCCTTCTCCTTTTGCTTCTTTCTCTTTCTCCTCCTCCTCCTTTCCTGTCTCCACTATCATTCCTTCTCCTCATTTCCCTTTCTCCTTCTCTCCTCTCTTCCTTTCCTGTCTCCACCACCATCATTCCTTCTCCTTTTGCTTCTTTCTCTTTCTCCTCCTCCTCCTTTCCTGTCTCCACTATCATTCCTTCTCCTCATTTCCCTTTCTCCTTCTCTCCTCTCTTCCTTTCCTGTCTCCTCCACCATCATTCCTTCTCCTTTTGTTTCTTTCTCTTTCTCCTCCTCCTCCTTTCCTGTCTCCACTATCATTCCTT